TTTTTACAAGAGAGACTAAGATATCAATCAGGAGGTCTTGAATTTGAAGTTTATTTATGTGATATGTGTACGAGTTTGCATTTAATTTGTTCCCGTTGACGCAAGGTCTCTTGCCGGCGGCGGTGCCGCCAGCTAACGGCGGCCAGCCGGCCGGCCGGTTGGTTCGGCTGTCAAACTTTTTCGGGCTCCAATTTTTGGCTCGGACGGACCAAATTTGACGTTTTTGGGGTTCCCGGACACGTTTTTCGACATTCCGGACTCAATTTTGACACTTTCGGAACTCAACGAGACCTCTACAATCAAGTTTGAGCAAGCATTTAACTTTTGGGATGCAATTTTTTTCGTTTCGGCAAAAACAAATTGTCGACGCATATATTTTCGGACTAATGGAGCTTCGACGTCCGAAAATAGCGGGGCAACTGATGCGTCATGCAAAAATTATCTTGATCGGACATGAATCTCGAGACAAAAAAAAGCTAGTTGGAAACTTTAAAAATTAAATTCGGAAGCACATGAGCTCCGATTTCAGTAAACTTACAGTCAAACTGAGCGTCTTGGAAATACAAACCCAACGACACCAAATTTGACTCAATCCGAGCCCAAATGAGTCCAAATCAAGGACCTAAAGCGCTTTTGGAAGGTTCGAACCATAATTTGAGTTACCAAACGGTCTCCGATTTTGGCGAGCTTATAGTTGAATCTAACGGCTCGACGAGACGAATCCAACGAGCCCAAGATCGCCAGATTCCGACATCACTAAGGCCTTCAAATGGCTTACGAACGGTGTATGATCAAAGGATTTAATATCAGTCGTCCATTCAACCACTCCCTATTCGCCCCTGATCTCACACCTATTTACAAGCCATGACACTCTAGAAAAAATATAAATAGAGCCCTCATTCTTCATAAGAGGGGGGAAGTGAAGAGAAAGAAGATGAAGAGAAGAAGGAGGAGAAGGAAGAAGGTCCTTCTCGACCACCGCCAGATCTATTCCAGCCGCCTAAAGATGTCAGAACTCTGCCGGATTTTCGGTAAACATCGGGAATTTGCAGAACTTTGTAACTTTGTGAGAAGTTGATTGTAAATTGATCGTCTTGAATTGTAAGACGGATCAACCTTTGTACTTCAAACAAATACTAGTGGAACTTTGCAACTAGGCAAGACCCCGTGGTTTTTTCCCTCTTTCGGGTTTTTCACGTAAAAACCTTGGTGTTCACTTCTCTTTTCTGCTTGTGTGCTGAATACTCGTACTATTAAACGGGTCAACCCGAATCCAAAATTTTCAAGTGGACTTTGGATAAGATTGGCAGGTCGACTTATTTTTTGACACTCCTAATTTTGATTAATATTATATTTCAAAATTTTAATTAAATGAATTCTAATAACTTAGAGATTTACCTTTTATTTATGATCGCTTAAATCTAATTTACTATGCTGATTAAAATAACATAAACTGTTTTGCCACATAAAAAAAAAATATATAATCCATTTTCCCAAAATATATTTCACATAACATATTTTCACCATTAATTAATTATTTAGTCGACTTTGATTAGACTTTACAAATCTGCAAGGATATGATTCTTGGCCTTAATTATTATGAAATGAAACTCTGATGGTGTAACGGTATATTTGCATTTTCAGTTGACAAGACTGCTGAGGGGCTCACAGTTCACAGTTTTTTTTGGTTTCTCATTCTCTGAAAAATTATTCTGCATTGAATCCAGACAGGAAGAATCGTCCGAGTATATATATATATATAACACACTGCACACTTACAATCCAGATAATTTTTCCCGTCCGAGTTGCGCACAGAATAATTTTTCCATTCTTAGATGGATTGGAGTAACGAATGTGATGGATGAGAACAAGGAATGTCTATGTGTTATTGCTCATATTGATTTATTGGTTGAGAGTTGACTATCAACTAAAAGATCTAAAGTTCGAAGATTTTACAAATTGATTCCTTATTATTGAAGAGACGAGTCCTTATGAAACTTAGGATTCGTTTGGGATGGCTATCCTCTTGCTTTCTAAAATAACTTTATAATACAAAAATTTCTTGAATTTGAATTTTTTGTATTAGAAAGCCATTTTAGAAAGCATTATGAAAGTTGTGATGACTTTCTTACTGTATCTAAAGAAGTTTTTTAATAAAAAAAATCTAATTCTAAAACAACCCAAATGAAGTCTTTGATAAAATGATTAAATATTATAAGCATGCTCAAATAGTGAATGAAGATTAAAATAAAACTGAATTAAAAAAAAAAAGATTAAAATAAAACTAATTATTTATAAATTTATTTGAAATATTATTCCAATGAAATTCGACAATGAGGCTAGTATTCTTGAAGGAAGAGAAAAATCTTCTTCACAGTGGCGGAGCCACGGTGGGGGCACTGGGGGCACGTGCCCCCACTGGCTCCATGAAAAAAAAACTACCGCCCTCACTGCCTTCTGCCCAACCTTGCCACCGACGCTGTCCTCCGCTTCAACTCGGCTTACAGTCGTGCCAACATCAACACTCCGCCTCCGTGCTTTGCTTCGTACTTGTCTCCTGATGCCACCACAAGCACGTTAACATCCTCACCTTCATCTTCTTCACTACAGACTTTCTCACCCTTCTTGTCATTGCCTTCTTAAATAGAGTATACATAAGGAGACTGCTCTATCTCCACATCTCAATCCCCTCGCTTTTTTACAGCATCTCCATTTCTTCATAAAAAGAATCCCCTTGTTGATTTCTTTAGAAAGAAAAGAGAAACTAATCCATTAAAATATTAAAAAAAAACCTCTCATCTTTAAGAGAAACAGAGAGTTTCCCAAACATGACAGTAACCTGCTTCCGAAAAAATAAAGTAAGGAGGCTAATACATGACGGCCAAAGGCGGAGGGAAGCGGTTCCACAGGGGCACGGCCATGTTTTGGAAGAATTATTGTTTATTTTTAATAATGTATTATTATTATTATTTATTTAATTGTGTTGATATTATGATATTATATGATAAGTTGAAACATAACTTTTTTATGATTATTATAAAAAATGGCTAAGAAATAGAATTAGGCATTAACATAAGAATGATATTTTAGTCATACATTAAGAAATAAATATTATTTGATTGTATTGATATTGAAGTAATTATTAAAATTTTTTAGAATATAACGAGTAAGCGTTATAAGTTATTATTTTTTATCTTATATTTTATCTTTTTAAAATAATAATTAAACAAACAAAAAAAACTATCAACATCGGCCCAAATTTAAATAAACAAATTGAGAGAATATTAAAAAAAAGTAATTTATGCCCCCACTAAAGAAATTTCCTGGCTCCGCCCCTGCTTCTTCATATAATAATTTATTTTCGTTGGACTTCTCGTCGTCTCTCTCTCTCTCTCCCAGATGTGCATGAAGGAATATTGACTAGAAACAAGCTGTGCTTAATCCTTTTAAGAAGTAAAGAGTAAAGAGTAAGGAGCAAAATCTCTAAAGTTCTTCAAGCCAATGCATGGAGGGTAGCTTATCTAAAAACATAGAAAATCATGCTTTATGAAGCTTCTCCCATGCATTATCTCTAATTCCAATGTGATTTGTTCAATTTAAAGGTAAACTTTACCTATTTGGAGATGCTTAAAGTAGTTCATCTCTTTGTCTCTCTCTCTCTCATAATGAAAGAAAGTGATCTGACTAATAAAAGGAAGAGATGCTTTGAGAGCTCACTGTCTCTCTCTCTCTCTCATCCTTTCTTGTTTTTGTGTATCAAGGCATGGACGAGTATATGAGGGCTTTAATTGATTGGAATCTTGCTTTTTTGGTAAGGCTGCATCTTTTGCATTTGACAGAAGCTATCAGGTATGGTTGGTACCACAAAAAAGTATCCAAATGCATGAATTTTGGCCTCAGCAGTCGGCACTTTCAATGTTCTTGGGCACGTGTTGAGCAGCCTCTTCATATGTGTGTTGATCTCTACCATGGTCATTACATGTGAGAGAATCCATTAGTGAAAAAATAATTCCATTTGCAAGAGTGGGGTGTTCTTAGATCCCAATCACCCAACTACAGCTAGCCCTAACTCCTAAGACCATTCTCACTCAACTGTGTTCTTCTAATATCGATTTCCAACTAATTATAATCATCTAACCACCATCGTTTGACTATGATCTCTCAAATTAAACCTTCGTTGCTCCACTACGGCCCCTCTAGCCTTCGTTGCCTGACAACGGTAGTTTCGACCTTTGTCGTCTGCCGACTACAATCTCTCTGATCTACTTTGTGAAAAATAACCCTTCTGACCTCTATCGGCCACCAGTTATAGTCTATCAGACCCCAATTGCCCAACCACGGATTCTTTAACCTTTGTCACCGGAGTTCAATCCCTCTAAGCTCTGTTGCCCGCTAGCTAAGATCCCTCCAACTTCTGTCGAAGCTGACTAAGGTCCTTCCGACCTCCATTGCTCACAAACTATGGTCTCTTAGACCTTAGTCGCCATACTACAATCAATAACCTTTATGGCTCAACTACAGTCCCTTCGACTCCAATATAATCACTAACTATGATCTCTTTGATATTTGTCGCCTAACTATGATCTGCCCGACTAAATGAATATGTCAACATTCTCTTGAGATTAATACTAATGCCATTGGATTTTAATTCCAACCATATAATATACTCTATATGATATATATTTATTACATTAAGCACATATCTAACAGTAACTGTGATTTTCCTCTTATCATTTTTCTACATAAAAAATCTTGATATATATCCAAGGATTTCTTAAAAAAATATTATTTTAAAAGTACATTTTCAGAGAAAATTAATATATATATATTTTAGTATTTTAGATTTTACAGCTTGCTGTTGAATTGAAGCTTTTGTCCTGCTCCAAAATAGACAAGCTACTGAAATAGTAAACCTATCCTACTATGAAACAGTGGACCCTACACACCGCATCTTCGTTCGTTCACACCCAATCAAATTCATGCAACTTGATCGACCCAACTGATTAATTAACAGCGACTATATATTTCAAAATTGCAGATAAAAAAAAAAAAAAAACATATATCATTCCCCTGATAAAATTAAAATTAAATGTAAAAAAGAATTACAGCTGGCATCCTGCTCTTCTGACTATCGGCGGTGTGGAGGCGCCTCCGGCGAAAAGATGAGCTGTCCGGGCGAGAGGATGGCGGCTGGGTCGTACCGGGCCTTCCGGTCCAAGAACCGGCTCCAGCCCTTCTCACCAAAGTGGACAGCCCACTGGCTTTGGTCCCGGTAGTGGGGTAGGTAGAGCTTGTAATTGTATCCGGCGGACCGGCACCGGTCCACCACGGCCTGGTTCTCCGCCATCATCTCTTCAGCCGATGGCCCGTCCGGCGGAGGCCGAGCAAACCGGAGGAGCGCCACCAGGTAGAAGATTTCCCCGTCCGGCACCGACACGGACATTCTCTGGTCCCACCTACAAATATATATAAAGAAAGTAAATTAAAAACCACACTGTGCTCAATTCCGAATTATGGACTTACTTTCTTCGGAGCATGGGGTAGACGAGCATGGGCCCGCCGACACCACGGCGGAGGATCATGCGGAAAACCTCCCGATCGAAGTCGACTATGTCGCATGCGGAAACGAAGATGTTGAGCCACGGGTGGGGCGCGTCCCAGGTCCCATTCACACGTGCCTCTGCCTCGGAGTGATTCACACGTGATAGGAAGTCCACGTATGACACTTTCGCGCAGAACTCCAGGCCCTTGACGTAGCCTAGAGGCTTCAGCATTTCAGCCGCCCGCTGCAAAAGTGGGCATGATCGTAATTAAATATCAAATGCAAATGCGTCCAAATATATACTAGAATCCAGCATGAGATCCTTCCTAATTCCTAGAAAGACTCGATTGACGAAAATGCCCCTGATTACTTGTATCTACTATCGAGCAATTGTTAGGGATTACTTATTAATTTACCAGGTCAACGTTGTCGTCGCCGTGGCGGCAGTGAAGGGCGAGCTCGAGACAGTAAAGGAGCGGGCCGGATCCTTGCGGGACCCGGTCTGGGTCGAAGGTTTGCCGGTCTGAGTCGAGCGGGACCAAGCCGTACCCGTTGACCGGATCGTTACAATTGACAAATGCAAAGCCCTCCACGTAATCGAACGAATCGGGCCCGTATCCGTTAACCAGCGATTCGGCGTCCGATGCGTACCGTGCAAAATCACTGTAGACAACTCGTATCCACTTCACCTAGAGAGGAAAAAAGCAAATGCTTTGCACTTATAACCCTAGGAATTTCTTGCTTCGTTGAAATCACAAAGCTCCCAGCAGCATTTACGATACTTTTGCAAACAAAGAATATTATGTAAAAGTGTTAATTTAACTAAATTATTGGACGAATGTGCTAATCTATAGCATTCACAGCAGTATTTTCGGCCAGTTCCTTTTTTTTCTCTTCTTGGAAAGGAAAAAGTTACTGCGGTAACGAATGAGGAAAATGGATAATTATTTGGGTTCGGCGAAATAAAATCGTGCAGAAAAGGACTGGAACGGTTGCTCATGGAATGACAGCTAAGACGAAGAGTGATAATAAGCAACAAAATAGTGAAATACTACTAAGAAACGAAATTTTAGGGTTTCGAAAAAAGTCCCAAATTTAAGTGTGGAGAGGTCAAGCTGGGACTGTGGAGTGGTGTGGACTGCGGAGTGCCGTAAAAAGATCGGTCAACATACCGCATCAGGGGCGGGGAGAAGTGGAATCCAAGCCCGCGTAATTACGCCGAACTGACCAAGTCCGCCTAAAACAGCAAAAAACAAGTCGGCCTCACCGGTTTCCGGCGAGCAAAGTCGGCGCTCGCCATCGCCGGTAACAACTTCGAGCTGAGATACGTTTACAACTTGCGGGCCGTGACAAAAGGTCTGCCCGCTCACGCCCCCATTAGAAAGAGTGCCGCCAACGGTCAGCCCTAAATAATCCGTCCACGACCGCGGCGCCAAACCGTGCTCCGTCACAGCCCACTCCAACACTTCGGACCACAACGCACCGGCAGGCACCTCTGCGCATGGTCCTCTCGGCCCGCCCGTGAGCCCGATGGGCCCAGCGAGCACCCGCATGTCGAGTACGAGACCGCCCGCTGCGCCAGCCTGCCCGTGAATGGAGTGCCCGTTACCCCGCGCCGCCAAGGCGAGGCCATTCGCGCGAGCGAAGCGGATAGCGCTGGCGACCTCGTCGGCGGTCGAGGGTTGAATCACTGCCGCGGGCACAGAGGTTATCATACCGCCGAAGTCGCTCCCGAACGATTTTAGATCGCCGTTATTAGTTTCGTCGGCGGCGTTGAAGTCGTCATCGCCGGCGGTAGCAGAGAGGCGGCGAGGTAGGTTTTCGAAATAGGCAATCATGGGGGCGGCGGAAGAGGACGAACTGGATTGGAGAGTGAGCGGTTGGTTTAAATAGGAAAGATGCTGCTTTAATTATTGAGTTTTATTTTTTTTTCTTGTTTTATTTTATTTTAAACTAAGTGTATTTTAATGATAAAAAAGAGTATTATTAATATTAAGCTCGAGCTTAATTTTCGAATAAAAAAGATAGGAAGAGAGAAATATGTTTTCAATGAACAGGTCGGGCCGTCTGCTACTCATTTTGTTTATCCAAACCGACAAATGTTAGGAAATTTGCATATTTTTTTCAATTTTTTTTTGTATTTGCAAAATAGGTAAATGCTAAGGAAATTATACCTGCTATTCATATATACCCATATTTGATATATGGGAATCATACATATGACACTGCCTTTCATTAGTTTTCATTTTTAGTATATGTTATTTTTTATTTAAGGGTCCAAAATTTTAATTTTATAGGCTTTTTAAAATTAATAAAAATTACAAATTATTGTTCTTAGTCTTCATTTAAACCCTTAAATATATCAAATTTATGCATCGGCACTCATTATTTCCACCAAAAAAATCATGACCAGATTTGTCCATGTGAATAGCCCAACCTTACTAATGGATAGAAATGAAGAGTGAGTAAGTGAGTGACCGAGGAATAAGTGAGAGAGAGAGAGAGAGAGAGAGAGTAGAGATGACATTTTTTAGAATACTTAAAAAATTATGAGCGGTAAAACAGGCAAACTATCAACTATATCAATTTTAAAAAGTCATCAAATTCTTCCACATCACTTCTTATTTATAGAGTTTTGAGAATTACATAAAAATATTTTACTGAGAAAAAGTAAAAAAAAAAATATAACGTTGTACATAATGCCTATGCAACGTACACATTCTTCTAGGCATGCTTCTCTGATTGGATGACAGGAGAGTATGGTCGATGAGCTTCGACATGTTGCTTTCAAATGAGTTCGATCAATAGTGTTAAGTGGACAAGAGCAAGTGTGCTCGGACAAGTATGTGGGCGAGTGCTGAGATGAGAGGGAACCAATGACTAGCAAGTGGGTTGTCATGGTTGGAGACTTGTAGGAAGCTCAACGATTACTTGAGAAGAGAGGAGCAAGTGAGATGCCATTGCGGGAAGAGAGTGCTCTGGCTATGGTTGTGATGAGTCAAACTAAGAGTCCCATGACTAAGCAATTTCATGTAGTTGAGTTTGGTGAGAATTGTCGTCTTGGGAGAGAGCAAATGACTGAGATGTGGTACAGGCACTTAACAAGTGCAAAGCTACTAGCTTTGAAGAGGAATCCTTGATCCACTTCATGCAAAGCGAGCTACTCATAATACTCGGGTGAGTGACGCCTATTGGTCATTTCGGGCAAGTCCTCCTTTGAGTTTCAGTGGAGTTCCCCAAGTGGTCCTTGTTCAGAGACAAGTTCCCTTGCAATGACATGCTAATTAGCTACCTGCTACACACCTGCAAAGACGTATGCAAGTGTACACCTTTCATCAGTTTCCATTTTAGTTCATATTGTGGAAACTCAATGGATATAGAGCAGAGACAAGAAAGCAAAGTAATGGAAAAAGCTGAGAAAGAATTTGATATTGCATTACATCAGGTCAAATACATACAGGCCTATTTATAGGAAATAAACAAGTAGGCGATACATAGATAGCATTAGGAAATTAATTGTTAGGAGTTTTGTCGTGTTGCTCTAATATGCCCCTGCAAACTGATGATCCAGATTGGACCGTCAGTTTGAGTCTAAGTTTGTAAAATCTAGGAGTAGATAAATATTTGGTGAGAATATCCGCCACTTGATCAATAGTGCTGATCGGAAGTAATCTGATTGTGTTGTGTTGGATGTGATCTCTGACGAATATGTGATCTATCTCGACGTGCTTCGTACGAGCATGAAACACCAGATTATTGGCGAGGGCTATTGCGGACGTGTTGTCACAAAATAGGTATGTCGGGTGAGTTTGTGGTATGCCGAAATCTGTCAGAATTCTAAGAAGCCATAGGATGTCTCTTGTGAGGGCTGCTAAGGCTCTGTACTTGGATTCTATGGATGATCTCGTGACCGTGGTCTGCTTTTTGACCGTCCAGGAGATAAGTGTATCTCCAAGGAATTTGATATTGTATTACATTAGGTCGAATACATAAAGGCCTATATATTTAAAGGAAATAAACAAGTAGGCGGTGCATAGATAGGAACAAAAAATTAATTGTTAGGAGTTTTGTTGTGTTGCTCTAATACATATTTCTAGCTAGTAATTTAATGGCCCATAATTTTAATTTTATAGGCTATTTAAAATTAATAAAAAAATATGCAAATTATTAACTTAATTTAAGCCCATAAATAAATCAAATTGATGTATAAGCACTCATTAATTATTTCTCCCAAAAAATCATGATGAGATTACAATTATACTTGTCTTATATGAATAAAAAAAATTATTAGAACACTCAAATTACAAGCAAGTTTCAATATGATTAGATGGGCCATCCCCTTAACTTTTTTTTTGGGGGGGATATGTGGTTAATTGGCCGTTAGATTGGAGCTATTATTAATAGTCCAATCTCCACAGTTCTATAGTAATCGCATTAATGATCATATTTACATCAACAATACATATAATTTTAAGATGAGTTGAATTGAAATGTTGCTTGTGAGATAAAAAAGGGCATCAAAATTGGATAAGAGAACTATTTATTCTACTTATAACTATATCTCAAGAAATATATACTTTTCTCTTATATGCATAAAATTTAACAATAAAGTGGATTTGCTCTCAATTAGGATTAATTATTCTGTGCAAATACCCGACGGCGTCCGGAGACGAATGATAAAGCGCCATATCACTTTATTACTGTGTACCGGTGCTATGTTCTGCTCTGATTCATCTCCGGACGGTCCGGTGTTTGTAAAGAATAATTTTTGCTCAACTAGATAAGAATATGTTTCTTATTTAACATTCCTAAATAACTCATTGATAAGTAATGCTAATAAATTTATCTTTGAGTTATTTACGACCTACATTACTTTTAAATTCAAGCGGCATAGTATAACCATTGATAATATATAGTGAGGATGCAACAACCCTCTAAAAAGAATTAGCATATCATTTATATCACTTTTTTATTAGAAAATATAATGCAAAACAAACATTAAGTTTACAACTTAGGAAAATTCGCCATTTCTCTTCCTTACATAAAATAAAAGATGAATTTGAGGAGTTTTGCATCATAGATTAACATATTATTTTTATCAGAATTTTTTTATTAGCCCTTATTTAGCCCACAATAAGGTGTCTAGGTCAATCATTTTAATTTATTTTTTTCTTTTTTCATAAACCTTGAAACACTAAGAAAATCCAAAGACATCTTAGTCCCTTTTTTCCCTCAAATAGTCAAATTCTTATCATCAATGATTTAAAGAAAAGATGTGACTTAGTTGCTTTAGATGTATGTTATGTTGGATCCAAATTTAATTATCGGTTATAATTAACTTTATTAGCAAGTAAATTTGAGAGACCGAAACGAATATGTATTGCGAATAAGGAAAAAAAAAAAACTGGGGAAAAGTTTAACACTAGCTCAATAATACTTTTTGATTGTGTAATAAATTTAAAATCTGTCTCTTCATCATTTATTTATATGATTCTCATATCTTCACCTTTCTTTTCAATTTTCATTCAATTCTTACTAAGTGATAAAAGTTTAGATTTTGATAGTTTTATCAAAAAATAAAATTTTTATTGGGATTTCAATATATATATATATATAAAAGAAGACAAAAATACTATTTGTTCGAAAAGAAAGTCTATTAATACAGTTACATGATAATGCAGCAATATTTTTTATAGTATGTACAATATTTCTGTTAATCAGTGCGTGTCAAGTTGCTGAATCATTAAATTATTAATGATGCAGCTTAGCTTAGGCTTTGTTGGTGTAGCTTTTTGATGTTTTTTAAAGTTTTTTTTTATTTTTACCAAAATTCATCTCATAAATGCTAGACCCTCTCTCCTTATCTGCTTGCGTGCCAGATCTTCGTACAATGCTAAGACGTTAAATATAATATTTCTCTACCGCCGCGAATACTCCTGGACGCAACATTACCAAAATTCATTATTTAAAAAAATTTTGAATTAAAAATCTCCTTTGAAAAGTAGTACAAAAATCCTCTCAAATGTAGCCGACGGACATCATTTTAACGCTTCTTAAAGTAACTTTTTAGTATAAATTTTTTAATTTTTTAACTAAACAGTTTCTAAAAAAAAAAGTAAGAAAACAATCACAAATGAAGCCTTAGTTCTTATTGCTTTCTAAAACAGCTTTATAATTTAAAAAAAAATGTAGTTCAATAAATTTTTGTACTAAAAAATTATTTTAACTAATAGTAATAAAGTTGTCCCAAACAAAACCTTAATATATTAGATGATAATTTTGACTATCAATTAAGAGTTTTTTAATAAAAAATTGATGCATATTATCGATGTGAGCTTGGATTAATTATTCTCTGCATATGCTAAATGCTGTTCGGAGACTAATCAAAATGCACCACGTCACCTCTTGCCCGGTATTACAGTACGATATTATTCGGTACCACTGTTCGATACTACTGACGTGACGCATTCTGAATTTAACTTAATTTACACAAATGTCCATTTTCTTCATGATTAGAGAGAAATGTGACTGATGTATGATTGCCGTCTTAGAAGGTAAGACTTGTGGCTGAAATAAATCTCAACTTACTAACCGCGAGTCTTTGTACGGCCATAATACACTTATTAGGCGTGGCTTGTTGTAAAAACTCTCGGTGCCTGGGGCCCACTTGACATGACGTGTACTGATAATGACTTCCCCGACTGCTGGCGACATCTGAATTATTTTTTTTTTCTGTTTATTTAAATATATTTTTTTTCATAATTTTTATTCTTTTAATGATTTAGTGAGCTTGAAAATTAAATTAATAAATGATGAAGGATCGGCCATTCTCATAAGGTTAGAAAAATTAAATAAAACATGTGAATTGTTTCCA